TTCACTTAACAGCTTCCTGATAACTCATTTGAAATTGTGTTTTAGTATTTCTATGGTTTGTTAAAGCAATCTTGAAATTATTAGACAACATTTGCCTTTGTTATTCAAAATACATGACTACACACACAGAGATGGCAGAACCTTCCAGAACAACTTTTCAAGGACACAGATTTGCCTTCTGTTCTTCTTAAGAGAGGTGAAAGCCACAGAGCAGAGCTACCACAGCCTCTCTCCACACCCAGGCCATTCCTGCTCTGAGCATCTCCTGGCAGTGCATGAACACAATGATTATAAACACCCATTACTTATGGTCTCCCTTCAGCTCTACCAGGACCATTACACTGCACTCTCAAGGAATCATCTGAAACACTGCACTTGGAATGTTAATATTATGTGCTCACAGCTCTTTGAACTTGCCCTAAGTCTTAAGAACAGGTACTTTTCCAGCAAAATATAAACATATAAAGCAAACCAAGAGTTACCACAGTAGAGAGAGTGAGAAGTCGCATGATCTGGCCACAGAAAATGCCAACTATCTCCACCCCAGTTCTATTTAGACTGGGCCTGGATCTACTCCTCCAAATCAATTTCTTAATTATTATAATTATATACACAAAAAATTCAACTGCTTTAAAACTAGCACATACTTTAAATGCTCATCTAAAGAAAAGAAGCACAAAAGGCTGTTGCCCTGATTTCTAAGTGTTAAGTTTTCTTTTATAGTACTTTTAAAAGTTTTGAAGTTCTTTTAAAAGTTTTCTATACCTTCTAATGTTTACATATTTCTACTAGAGTTCTCACACACTTTTCATGTATAAAAATAATCATTGTTTTACAGTCTTCTTTGTAAGAGGAGAGAATTGATAGACCATTAGTTTGACCTGTGTGGTTGGAGAAGTAACAATTTCATCTTCCAATCCATTGTCAGTTTTAGAATTCTATATATTGCAAAGTCAGAAATAAAATTAGCTCTTTTTCTCTTTTAAACTTATCAAGCTTCTGTGTACTCATGTTCTGTCCAATAGCGACAAAAGGCAATACAAAATCTTGAGTTCCCAATAGAGAATAACAGTCTTTTGGAACTAGAAACGGTTCCTTCTACATTCAATTCATTATCATTTTCACTCTGCAGTAGGTATTGCCCTAACATTTTACCATCTCTCCATCCTTCTAACAACCAAATACTCTATGCACATTGTTTATTATCTCTGTACCTAATGCAATTTGAAATTTGTTTGAAAAGACTTCTTACTCTCAGCATATTTATAATACCCCAGATCAAATATTTGAATTAAGGAAGTTGGGCCCCAGAAACATTTTCATCTATCTACTGGGTCATGGCTTCTTTCAAAGTATAATGCATATCAATATCACCTTAAATGTACATCCAGGTATTTGTAGAATTCTGAATACAGATTTGATTAAGTAGCATAAAAAGATTACAGTTCCATTGCCATAAAACTAAGAAAAATCAGACAAGCTTCTCTTTCTTAATATTTAAAGCTACCACGCTCCTGCTGGAGAAGCTTAAAGCTTTGCTCTGCTTTTATCTATTTTAAAATCTTTCTGAACAACAGCTATCAATCCAAAGAAATATATTTTCAAAGTATTCTTTCATTCTCAACAAAAGATAGACTTTGGGAAGGTATTTAAATCCATTAAGATGCATGTGGAGTAGCCTCTAGCAACTTCCAACCTATTTTAAATAAGCAGAATTTTTCTATTTCCATACAAATATTCCAATAGTGTAGTAAACATTTTGTACCTCAGTAGGCATCAGTGTTTGTTAATCTCATACATAAGGAATAAATTCCAAAGCTGCAGGAGCTCTGTGTATTCCCAGGACTCTGCCCAGGCATGCAGACCCCTGAGCCAGACTCTGCAGGAGGATGTTCCTCCAAGTACAGTAGGCAGCCACTGAGGCCAAATGATTCATTCCTACCACCACCTCACAAAGTCTAATTTGATAATTATAGTGATTATCAATTAGCATCTCATCACTATTTGATGACACACGATGACTTGAGGCTAACTAGCATCTCGTACATCATTTAATAAAAATGCCATGAAAAGAGGGCTGGTGGCAGAGGCCAGCAGGCAGAGTGAGCTGAGTAAAGAAAGGAATGTGCAACAGTTTGGGGACTCTTACAGGTTAGTTTTTCTGAGATGGGCCAGTGCAGACACCCCCCAGTGTGAGCCCTGGCCATCACAGGAGTGGGAGCTCCATTCCCAGCCTGGGACAGGCCACAAATCCACTTTGTCTTCTGAACCTGGAAAGTCACTCACCGTGCGAAGATCTGCACAACAACACTAAGGTTCAAAGAGAATCCTTCATTACTCAGGACAACAACCCAATGCACATTTTAAACTCATTAAACTCACTTTAAAAAGAAAGAAGAAAGCAGACAAATTTTACTCTGAAATATGTAACCCAACTATAAGAAGACAGAACAGCTGAAGGCCTAAGCACAAAATGAATTTACAAGTGGTTCTGTCTACAGTTCACTACAAGATCAGCTTTCACATGGATGATCATTCAAGTTTAGAGAATACTCAACCAAACTGTTACAGATGAAATTAGTTTCTTCTGTTCACCTTGAAGTGTAAGCTACTTATCTCAACAACTTTACCTGATCTGTTTCCTAGGAATGAAGAACCTGCATTTCAGTATGCCTGAAATACCTCTTCTGTCTTTAATAATGCTGGAATAGTTATTATGGAAACATTAGCTGGTTATAGCTTTGTATTCATTCAGAAGAGCCATGGCCCATATATTTAGAATGTTCATTTTTTTATCTTATAAAAAGATTGAAGTCTTGTAATTCTCTCATGCATATGACCACATCATTCCATTAGAAACGTCTGTGGCTGTAGCAGAATTTCCATTTTCATGAAGGACTTTTATATTGTCATCTTCTCTCAAAGTAAATTTTTGCATAAAAGTGATGAATGACTTGGAATCCATTAGAATTCAGAGTGCAAAAAGAACCACAAGTTATAAATTAATACAAATTTTGTGAAATTCCAATAAAAGCCCTCTACATCAAGACCTGCACACTGGTTTATGTGTCAAATAATTCTTGAGAGAACTAACTGTAATCTTCACCATTATATAAAAATTACAATATATTTTGTTTCTACATTACAAAATTGTTTTGTCTTTCATTGTTTCATGTCTTCTACACTTCATAGCTTTATCTGCCCCAATATTTTTCAGAAATAATATATCTTATTCTCTTCCCTTCCCCTCCTTGCCTTAAATACTCTTAGTTACTTAAAACTAACTTGGTGTAAGGACTTTTTTCAGTGATAGTTTGTATACACTACGTAACTCCCTGAGATATACAGTACCTGAAATTGATACTACTGCAAATGCTGAGTAATCTGAAATAAGCTATTGAAAAATTACACTCTACTATGTGCTAAACAAAAGTTTCAATTCACTTTTAATCCAGTAAGATGGCTAGTTTATTACTAACCATAGAAAAGCTGGCATCTAAAATGATCCCTGAATCCCTGGCACTTAAAACTACCTTTTGTGATTTGTTTTTTTTCTTTTTAAATGTAAACAGCAAGAATCATCAGCATTTATCTGTCAACATGAAGTATCATATTGGCACCTATCAACAACAACTACCAAAACAAAAAAAGCAAAAAGTGACGTGAATTTTAATTTGCAGAGATAATTATGTCAGGTATGGCTTGTTTCAGGATAACAATACCGTGTTAGGGCTTGCAGGCCTCAGCAAAAGTAATTTGGGAATAGCAGTGACAGCATAAACAAAGCACTGAGAAAGGTTTATGAGGGTGGAGTCCATATAAAACACTGGATTAAATCTCTTCTGTATCCTGCGGCTCCAAACTTTCTGAGGATGCAGCAGTAAACCCAGAGCAGACAAACTACAGCAGACTTGGCTTCCAACTCCTCTTCCTCAACACACAGCCCCATCCACTTCTTACAACTGAATGCACCGTTGTTCCCCGTGAAATACTTGAAAACAAAGAGGTAAAACACAAAGACTATTCCCCTTCATGGAGTATGAACTTCCGCTTTTAATAACTAACTCCTGGTGCCACACGATACAGTTCTGCATTGTCCAGCTCACCCCACTTCAGCCAGACAATGCACACAGCAATAAAACTCAACCCAGCAAAGAAAGTGAAAGCTGCGTTTGTTCAGCGTGTTATTTGGCGCAGCCAACTGTAATGCTTCTGCCTGCCATTTATTGTTTACTCTGTCAAAGGATTATTAAGAATTAGGCTACATTTGGCAATTTTCGAGAAGGGAATTTACATGCAAAGTGACTGACACTTGGTATTTAAAGTCTATTGGTCGACTCTGACCCTTCGTTTACAAGTGACTCATTTGACTGCAAGGATCTCTGATGTGGAAATGCTCAGATACGAATCAATTGCAGTTTTTGTCTCGGGTAAATGTTACTTGGCAATCCAAAAGAAATGAACAATGCTGAGACCGAGGCTCACATAGAATAGTGCTCATATGTTTAAAGAATTCCTTTTAACATGCCTGGTTTAGTTCTAGTCGGAGGATTTATGACTCCCCTTCTCCTAATAACTTATCTCAGAGCACAGTGGTTTTAAACACACACACACACACAGACACAGAGACACACACACACAAAACCAGCAGTTAACTCTTTTGCTGCCTGAAAGAACAGCACGGATGCATTTAAGTAAATTTAGAAAGCAGGTTTGGTGCTGATAGGGATTGTGATTCTCCGTGGGAGGTTGGGATAGGGTAAGGATAGGACTAGAAAGGGAGAGAAACATGTAGGTACAGTTTGCAAATCCCTGCTCCATAAAGAAACGATTGTGTGTAAGAAACGACCATTCCTACATGAATCAGCTCAGTGCAAATTCTGCAGTTTATCTCTGATAAGGATGAAAGTAAAAGGGTTTCTCTGTACCCGAGCAAGATTCCCTTCCTCTCAGAAGGCAGATGCAGCATTTCTATAAACAAAAAATGTCTCTAGCCCTACCTTGTGCCAGTGCTTGCAACATGTGGAGCTGAAGCAACAGAAACGCCCACCATCCCCGACAGAAGATGAAACAGAAGTTTAACTTTATCATCATTCCGCCTCGCCTGCTATTCCTTCGGGCAATAATTTCGCGATCCACCTTCCTTTCAACCGGTATTGCCTCACTGATGCCCATCCGATCCGACTGGCTGCCACTCCTGCCAGCGCTTTGGTCATCGCTCATTCCGCACCCGCGGGCCGGGCTCTCAGTGGAGGGTCGGGAGCCGGAGCCCCGCGCTTTGGGGGGAAGCGAAGCCCCCACTCGCCAGGATCGGCGGGATCTTTGATTTGTGCTCGCTCCGCCTGCAAGCCGGGAGCAGCGCTCCGTGTGCCTCCCGCTATGACAGTCGCCACCTAAGTCAATGTTTCTTGTGGAGGTATTGATTGCACCAAAACAACCAGTCAGAAATGTGAAACACATGTTTCTCTGCACTGTCACATCCAATGCCTTCAGCAGAGAGGGAGTAAGTTCATAGGCGTCAGTATTTCAGTAAATCCGGATCCTTCAGCACATCGCAAACAGGAACAGGGAGAAACTGATCCATCTTAGCAGCCACCAGCAGACAATCCAAAGAGAACCTTTTATACCGCAACAGTGATGGAAACTGTTAACCCCGTAATTTTTGTGGAGCGTGGTGAGTTCTCCAGCATGTGTCCCATCCTCCTGTAAAAACCCTCCGATGGAAGTGTTAAATTCTCGCAGAAGGGGGGGTGGGAAAAAAGCGACAAGGAAAAAAAAAAAAAACTAATTGAAAGTGTCTCGTTATTCCTTGCGCTAAGGATTTATTTCAGACAATTTCAAGATTAGCCATGCAGACAGAGTAGTCTCCCGATATCCCCGCAAAGCTCTGCATAGTTTATATTAATCCGATTTTCCTTGGAATACAAATCTCTACCGTCAATAGAAGGGTTTGAAGGGTCCTCGAGCAGGTAAATCAAGCAGCTCTGGCTGTGATTCCAGCTCGCTGTGCAGTCAGGCAGCCACAGGCCGGTGCCGGTGTCACTTGAACTCCTCACGTTCAGCCGGAGGTAGGGAAAACCTCAGTTGATCCTGTCTCTCTCCTCGAAGGCTGGTGCCGATCCCTTCCTAGCAGGGAGACCGCGACAAAAATCACCTCTAAGAGGGAAAGCGCTTTTTCTCTTGCCGGTTGTGGACGCAGCAAGGAAGCAAACACTCAGCTGGACAGTGTCCGGCGTGGGGGGAGCGAGAATCTCCCGAAACAAACAGCAACAAGGTGAAATCCTCGCAGCTCTGCTGAGCCGGGCTCCTGCTCTCGGCGCTGATGCAGCCCAGGGATCCCGGTCCTTCCTCCGAGCGTCTCTCCCTCACAGGCGCTGTAAACACAAGGGGGAAAGCGCGATCACAACAGCGGCAGCGGCGGCAATAAAACCCAACCGAAAAAAAAAAAAAAAAAAAAAAAAAAGGGGAAAGCAAAGCGCTGGAGGTTTTATATTTGAACAAAGCATCGGGGTATTGTTTCAGTCCCGCCTTCCGTGAAGGGAAAACTTTCGTGAGAGATGCCCTCCCCCCTCTACTTGTTAAAAGAAAGGAAAGGAGTAGTTATAAAAGAAGCACCGAGGATAAAGGCGAGTTAAAAACAAAGCACCTAAGCGCGAAGTTGATCAAACACGAGCCCCGCCAGCTCGCCCCGGCCCCCGAAAGCCGCCTCAACTTTTCTCACCGCCTCAGGCGGCGGCGCGGCGCGACCCTGCCCGCGGCCCCGCCATCCCCCCGCGCCCACCTCGGCGTCCCCGCCCCGCGTCCCGGCTCCCCTCAGCTCCCTCCGAACCGGCAGCGGCGCTGCTGGCTCACCTCCCGGCTCCCCGCACGGCTCTCCCGCCCACAGCGCCTCAGCCCACCTTCCCCTGACCTACACCTCACCAGCGGGGCCGCATCTGGGCTGGGAAGGGGCTGGGGAGGGGGGCGCATCCTGCGCGGGGCTGGGGGGATGTGTGTGCGTCTGTGTTTATCTGCACGGGTGCGTATCTCTACGTGTGTGCCACTGTCGGGACTGGGCGGTGCGGGGCTGGGGGGGTATTTCAGTGCAGGTTCCGCAGCCGCGGGAGGGGGGACACACAAGCACCGCCATCCCCATCCCCTCAGCTGCCTCCCTCCGGCCGGGACGCTCATTGGGCGGCAGAGCGGGGCGGGCGGCGCGCGCGCAAAGGCTGGAGCGGGGCTGTCTCGCGCCCCCCTTTGCCCCCCTCCAGCCGGCCTGAGGGGACGCGGCCTGCGCTCCCCGTGCTTTGTCCCCGTCCCCATCCCCGTCCCCGTCTCCGTCCCCGTTCCCATCCCCGTTCCCATCCCCGTCTCCATCCCCGTCCCCGCGGTCCCGGCGGGGCGCTCCGCCGCCGCGTCCCCGCGCTAACAGCGCCCCCTATGCCCGCGCGGCGGTGCCGCGGGCGGGGACACGCCGGGCCCGCCCGGACAGGCCGGGCCGCCGCCGCCGCCTCAGCCCGGGCGGGCCCGCGGCGGCCGCGCTTCCGCAGGGCGAGGAGCAGGAACGTGGTGACAGAGCCCAGGGAGCCCCGAGGTGCGAGTTAACCCCCGAGGTGCGAGTTAACCCCCGAGGTGCGAGTTAACCCCGTCCCTGCGCGCTGGGCTGTGCGCTGCTGCCGCCTTCCTGTGCCCGGCGCTGTTGTGCCCCGGTCAGGGCAGCGAGGGCTGCAGGTTGGCAGAGCCAAAGTTGGAGGTTGGCTCCTGCTCCTTCTGCCTTTTTGAGAGGCGGTGTGTGATGATGGAGCCGTGCAGCAAACACTGTGTATTGTCACATCAAACACAAGGTCATTTTCCCCTTTTATTAACAGCCAGTGTGATGGGTGTCTGACAGGTGTGTTACCCAAGAAAGCACCTTTTTCTCGAGCCTTTGTTATTTTACGGCATACAAGAAGGTAAAGCAGCTTCACAGTTTGCACTCCGGCGCAAGGGAACACTTTCCCTGGTTCCCTGGCAGGATCTCCTGTGCCCAACACCTGCCCCTCGGCTGCCTTCCTGTCCAGGCCATTCCATCCACCAGCATCCAGAGCTGCAGGGCAGCTTTTACTCCTGACCCTCCCTTTGTATCTCCCAGGTACATCTGTCTGCCAGATTCCCTCCTACGCCAGTCCCTGCATCTTCTAGTATCCAACAGGTTATTAAGTTTTTATGACGTCTCTTGTCTGCCCACCCCTTATCCCTCTGTGTGCCAGCTTGTTCCGTGTTCAAGAAGTTGCTGTACTCAAATCCTCCTTATTGTGGCACCTTTTCCTGGTGTGAGATATGAGCTGTATTCACCAGCCGCCTCTTCTTTGTGGTGAATAGAGTGAAAATAGCGATTCTGTTGTGCCTGTCACGTCACACTTTCCTTTTTTTTGTGCGTAGACCACATTAATAATTATCTACACATATCAGGACTCAGTGCTTATGATTTTCCCTGCAATACGTCCGTTTTGAGAACAATGCAGCCTGAACCCAGATTGTGTTCAGAACTGACCTCAAGGAAGTAACAGTCTGTTTGTAACTCCCATTGCACCAATAGTAGTTCTTTCACTGCAGCATGAAAAAAAAACTCTCTTTTTATTTAACCAGTAATTTTGGGTGGGATTGGTTTGCCTTAACTGGAAATGGAAAACATATTTGTGTGTTGGGAAGTTTCGTTTTGGTTTTTTTTTTTAAGCACTGTTAACAAAGGAGAATAGGGCTACTCACAGAAATTTCAGTTTAAGATTTCAAATTCAGTTTGATATCTAAGAAAGTCCTCTGTGCTTCCTCACAAGTTCGAAGGGAGGCAGTTTGCAGTGGTTATGAGAATTGTGAAAAGTCTGCTGAAAGAGTCGTTGTCAGACTGTTGTAACCAAGGTGCTGCAAAGGAGAAATGCTTGTTTCTGTAACATTGCTCAATTTCAATGGAAGTTTGTTTCACTTTGAAATTAACATGTTTTCCTTGTAGCCCTTTAAATCTGTTCAGCATGCAAACATAAACATTGGAAAGTAACCTACAAACGTAAACATCGGAAAGTAACTTACTTTCATCGCTCAGGCCTTGTTTTCTTATTTAAATGTGATGTCTTTTATACCTGACATTTTGGGTAAATTGTTTGCAGTTTGTTATTTTTAACAATGAGCATATCTAAGAGGACAATATTACAATATTAATGGTTGGGGTTTTTTTTCTATTTACCTTGGTTACAGTAAACATACATAAGAGTGTTCATACATAAAAAAACTTACCTGAAATATTGTTATCTATGTAAATTAGTGAAAGCTTTTTACCACTTCCCCCTCCTGCATGCATGTAACAATTAAACATATAGCAGGAATACTGGTAGGAGAACAGCTCTGCCACCTGACAAAGCAGGAACAACAAATCTGATGGTCATAAAGACGGAAAAAAGGACGGGATGAGTTTTCAGGAATTTTTAAAGTAAACACAGGAACAAAAGAAGCAATGTAGTTAGTTTTATTTAAAAGTGGAAAAAGAGAAGGTTAAAAGTCTTTTTATCAATGACTGTTGTGTATTGAAATGAGGTGTAAATGCGGTGAGATAATGAGACAAAAGAGAAAGCACAAAAAGGCTGCACGACTCGAGAGGGGCCATGTAATGAAAGGCAGCCGAGAAAGTGAAAGCATGGAACTACTTCCACAGGAAAATCTCACCAATGTTTTTTTACAGTCTTCTAATCTTCTTCTTTTATATCTTCTGGGGTACAGTTTATTGATTCTTTAGCATTTGGAATTAGCTAAACTCCTACAGATGGAGTGTTCTCATATGCAAATAATTTTATGTGCTTTTTAAGGTTTTATTTGTTTGTTTGGGGAGGGTTGTACGATTTTGTTTGTTGGTTTTTGAGCACTGCAGCATGTTGTTGGGATCTGCTGTATCTCCTCTTGGAGTCTCTGGTTCTTGCAGTCATTGATGGGTGGTACCTGGGGTCTAGATTATACAAACGTGATGGTTTGTAGCCAGGTAGTTGCTGTGGTTTGTTTGGCTGTTTTAGTCCTGTAAACCAAATAATTATACTGCATTCTCTTCTATTAAAAAAAAAATAAATTATGTGACATTTCTCAACAGCATGCTTCCTTTGTTGATGACTTACTCCACCTGGAAAATTTAACTGGTAAAGCAAGTCTTTACCAAAACCTTTGAAAATTAAATGGAGGGCTATATGAACTCCATAACAGGCAAAATAAAAGTTGATATTCTAGTAAGGTCTTTATCATAAGTAATGTAGAACAATTACTACTTTTAATTCTTTAATAGAAGGTATGGATCTTGTTGGTACTCTGAAAACAATTCTGTGGGTTGTTCCTACACATCCATTTTCCTTCACTAAAAAGTTTAAAGTGCAAAACTCAGGACAAGAAATTTTTATTGACTACCACATGATAGTCCCAGAGGGTTCTTATATTGCCTTTCCTTTTCTCTCAAGAGGGACAGTGCTTTTGAAAACAATGACTTTGCAAGTAGAAAATAACTTTCTTTCAAATGGGAAGGTTTTTCAGCATATTAAATTAACCTGAATTCAATGGATTTTTGGGAGGGGGCTAAAACCTTCCCTAGCAGGGGTATATTCCCAAGGTACACTAGCCAGCTGCTCTGCTTTTATCAAGTAAATATGCTTCTACGTCAATAAAAAACATTGGAAGAGAAGGGAAAAAGTATCCCATTATATGCTGGAAGTCTCAGGGGAAACATTAGGCAATGACTTCACCACACTTCTGGAAGTATCTCCTGCAGCAAACGCTGTTGCAAGAGCAAGAATGACTCCCATTAAATGTTACTGGCCTTAAATAACTTAATATGGTGTCAGTTTATAAAGCCCCCAAACAAGCAGAATGACAAATTTTTGTTTTCTCCATGTGGTTTGGATTTACATAAAAGAAATTAGAATTAGATTTATATACCTCTTACGTCTGATTTTAAATTCAGAAATGCAAGCAAATTCAGAGTTAAATTCCTTCGCTTGCTACTTAATATGATTGTGCTCAGGAGTGTGGGAACAGGCGAGGTGCAGTTCTAAGGCACAGCTGTAGAAGTTGAGGGCAGAGTGAATATATTGAAATGTTTCATGGCTTTTATGAGCCTGAGAAGGTTCCTGCTAGAGCTGTAGCACTCTGCATTCATGCTCAAATTCAGTTAAGCTGATGGAAGCAGTGTCTGTGCTGTCAGGACAAGGAGCTAACGTGGTTTCTGAATTATCCCACCTCCTGTATTATCCCAAGGTAACGATAGGCTTTCTCATTTAGCCATCAGAAGAAATCCACAATGACCCAGCCATGTTGCCCTGCTGTGTTTTATGGAGTAGAGAGTTAGCAAAGTAGCATAAAGGATCAAGACAACAGGTTTTTTGAAATGCAGACGTTTGAAAACATTCTCAGAGCCTCCCAGAGGAAGTCCACGGGGGCTCTTATGATTCTACTCCAGACAAGTTGGGCTAGAATGGAGAGAGAGAGATCTTCTCTTAAGAAGTCTGTGCCTTCAAACACCAGCGGGTCTGGCTACCCAGCCATGGGTTGCCGGGATTGCCCTTTCATGGTTCTGATGATGCCCCAGGCATGAGTGACCTGAGCACTTTGAGAACTGTCTGAAATTGCCCATAAATACTGGAGCAGACTTCGGACAAAGACTGAATGTTTCAGTTGAACTTAACCTTTGTACTGAGGAGTGCCATCTTGGGGACGTCCT